AGAGAGAGAGAGAGAAGTTGCTTATTGGCTCACGAGCATTGTTGATGGCTGAGCCCAAGTTAGTGAAATGTGAGTTCCTCGCTTCAGCGGCCGCCCTTGAAAAGTATCATGAAATGTAGAAAGTGCGAGCTCATCCACAGGAGAGGGTGCCGCAATCCTTGGGGAGATGGAATCATTGAGGCCATCCCAAAAGGTTTTCCCATCTATGTCACGCACCAAAACAATGACCAGTGATTTTTCCCCGGGTGCTGTGGAAAATTATCCCGATTAACATAAATCTATCACCAAGCTCATCAATCTACTACAATAAATATAAAAAAAAGTGATGCATGCAGTTTACAAACAATAAACTGTGTAACACATCAACTGTCAGTTGTCAACAACGGATAGTTGAGATGACATTTCTACACTGCAGCACACATTAAGCGGAGGAAAAGCTCACATCAACCATCTGTATTTGATAACAAACAGTTGAGATGCATCATAATTTTCTACTTCTGAACTACAATGCATCAGCATATACTTTTCCCCACACACTCATTAGAAGGAATGGAAGGCTATTTATTGGGTTTGGCCTAGGAAGCCAAAGTTTTCTAATGAACAGGTAGCAATTTTAACAACCTTGATAAATAGAAGTAAACAAGGATGCATCTTGAAGAATTTGAGTGGCTGATTTTCCTTTCCATAAGGACAGATTGTCTGTGATAGAAGGATGCAGATAGAGAGCAGCAGAGTAGACTTTCACACCAATTATAGCAAAAACCTTCTCCCGAAAACCTTAATAAGGATAACATCACTCAGTGCATGGGCAGCTTCACAAGCCTCAACTCAATATGATGCCTTCAGTAGGCTTAGAAAACAATGATCAACTAATGCAAACCGCAATAACTATCATACAAAGAATATAGCAACTGTAAACTGTCAAAGAAACACAGTTTGCTAGCAGCCTCCATATGTTGGGCTAGCAATAGCAAGGGGAATCAAGCCAAGTCTATCATGCACTATACATCTGCATCATTTATTGTAATACTCTGAAAGATTTGCCACATAAACAATATAAAGCTATAAGCTGAGTACAAACAAAAACAGTATCCCCTAGCCAAGTGGTTTGAAGCCCCAATTCTCTCACACCTTATTCTGGAGGCACCAATACCCAGCCTATCAACCAAAAAGAAAAATAGAATCTGATGCACCTCTCCTTAGGTTTCAAAGAATCAAATGCATAATTGATTTGCTGATACATGGTGCAAGAAAAAGAAAACGACGATAACCTAGACCATAGAAATGTCCCATTATTTTTATTGATAGGTTGTTTAGTTATGTTTTCTTAATATTAGAACTAAATGAGTTGACCAATGCAATATAATGATTACAAGAACTACATGGTTATGAATAACAGCATTGTGCATATCTCATGGAATCCTGATACTTACCTATGATGCAGGGATGTAGGTCCTTGAAACATACGATCTTCAAGGTGTTCGTTCTTCTTGGTGAGTGTCTGTGAATACATTACCAATTTTCAAGTACATGTCATGTTCCTAGACCTAGAAAACTAAAACAATATTTTTGTTCATTAGGTAGGCTAGGTAAATTGCACGGAGTCTCCCTTGCTAAGGTACTAAGAACATATGTTAATGAATGTACATAAACCATTGGATAATGTGGTAAATAGGCACAAGCTGATCCACAATCTCCATTGGATAATGTGGTAAATAGGCACAAGCTTCTATTTATACATATGATGGAATCATCATTAATCCATGAAGTGCTCGTTTTTAAATTTTCTATGTTTATTTCATTTCCATCTCTTCTTAGGATAGATAACAATCATACTTAAATGCACATAAGCCACAGAGTAAGAAGCACGTCATACGCATTCATTCAGTCAAACTCCTTTGTCAACATGACAAACAGTCACTACCACATCTAATTCATACATGCACAAGATAAAATCGGTATTTGAAACAAATCATTTGTTATTTTTCCATTAATGTTCTACTCTAAAGGACACCACACTTCCGAATTGACTCATTATGATAAATGGCGGTCATAGTCTACAAGCATAAGCCACTACTACCAGTGTTACTCAGAGACCCCAGCTTTGAGCTGGTGTTGCATGTCAACAAATGTCGGCATCTCAACATATGTCAAAGTTCCAAATAGACAATGCATTAAAAATAATAGTGATCACAAAGCTGGCATTTGAACCCAGGATCTCTTGTGCAAAATTTGAATGATCTACCACTACAACAAGCACACTATGTATAATAAATATGAACACTGATTGATACAAATATTTAAAAAAGCTATTATGACACTTTATTATATACAAATGTAAAAAGCTGGTAGGCTTTTTATAGAGATATTGTAAAGACATGTTTGGTCGTATCGGTTAGGCCAAACAATTAGACATCTTTGACATTCGTTGGACACTGACACTCATGTTGATGTCCATGTAAAACTGCTGCTAACACAACATGGAGTATCCATTATTAAGCAGCCAGTCTTTTCTTCTTTTGTTGTAAATGACTTCTGACAATCTTCTCTTTAATCAGTATATTACGCTGACAGTCAAAACTTCTTTCACCAATGTAACACATAGGTACTCTGCCCTATTCATACCCATAGACCCTACACTATATGTGCAGCCTGTATTGTATATGTTTCACACACACACACATGCTTACGTCATTGTTTTTCCCATCAAATCCCCCTCTCATAAATTTTTTCTTCATTTGTATAGTGTATGTTACTCTTAAGTCCCTGTAATTAGGCATCAAGACCTCATGAGGCTATGATACATAGAGGTCATACTCAATGTTTGTAGCTATGGAAAATATTTTTATGTTAAAATGACAGTTAACCCCCATTACAAAACTTGACAACAGATATTGATTGGTCATCATTGCATCAAATCCTCTCAGTCTTTCATGTCCTCAATTTTTTTGTTTTGTCTCTCTTCTTAACTGGTATATCAGTGTGATTCCAATTACTGCACCCTAGAATGTTGAATAGTATTTGCTCACATTTTTTAATTTCAAGGAGCATATTCGTTTATACATTGGACAGGATGTGTTCAAATAGTTAGAAGATCTATTTTGCACAACATTCACATACAGTAAAGGTAGTGGGAGTACGTACATATAAATATTGTCACATCAATCAAGGGAAACAAAACACCACAAGTAGTTTAGATTCTAACAAAAAGGAAACAATTTGGGAAAACTCATGCCATTCTGATACCATTCAAAAAGCACACATGCGCCAACATATATTAATGGGTCAGTACAGTCGGGAAGTGCAAGTGATGCTTGGAATTCGACGTTGGTGATGGGTTCTATGATTTTTTATTGTTCTGTTCCAAGTGCAGCAATAGATCTGTAAGCAAGCAAGAAACTTTTTTTTTCCTTTGATCCATTGTTAATTTGGTCCATCAAAACCGAGAGTAGGTACTTCATAAAAAAAAAGAAAAAATCCTGGGAGTAGGCCATAATTTCGCCCAAAGAAACAATTATACAGACTGAAAATTCGTGAAGAGAATATCTGGTACTTATCCAAAACTGAAGAAAGCAAAATTTGAGCCGAACCGCTTTAACTGCAAGAGTATACTACAAGAAATGATATAACAGACTAATGTATGAAAGGAAACCGGAATATTTACAGGTATTTCTACTTGTCACTCCGAAAATCTGAACAATTTGAGTTCCTTCACAGAATATTGAATCATAAGAATTCCCTACATTTTCTTTTGAAATATCTTCAATGAAAACCGATTATAAGAACAGTATTTGAATGAATCGTCACAGAAAAGCCATTGTTAACTATCTAAATTTGATCACATACTCTTTATAAAACAGAGGGAGTAAAGAATCTACACCATTTTAATAATCCCATTGACTTTTAGTTCCTCCTGCTTCTAAAACAATTTTAAAGTACTGTCATTCCATAGTATGAAATCCCCGTCTTCCTCTCCTTTCTGCCAGCTTTTGCAAATTTTCGAATTTTTGCAAATTCCGAATTTAAAGGTAATTACTGAACCAAACCCAAAGCACAAATTCCCATTTTGAGCATTTGAACACGCAAGCATCTAATATAATTTGGAAAAAGAAAGAGAAAAAGTACCAGATGCTTTAGGTACTACCATAGTAGAAGGCGTCGGCCTGATTAAGGTTTTTCTTGGGGTTTTGAGAGAAATGGGAATGTGGGTGTTTTTGGTAGGTCGTAATCTAGAGCGGGGTAGCATTTGCAGGAGTTCTGGAGCAGAAACAATGCTCGCAATTCTTTTCCCCTCTCACTTCTCTTCTTCCTTTGTTTTCTGTTTTCCTGATTTTGGTTTTGGTCAGGAACACGAGGGACCTCAGGTAATTGATGCGGGAGACCCAGGTCCACAGAGCAACGCCGGAGAGCAGTGTTTATCCGTTGGAAAATTCATAATTTCGCCGTCATTTTTGGTTAAGTTCATCGTACACTGCGGTATTACCGAATGGTCTGAATTATGGATCGCCATGACAATTTAATTATTATTATTATTATTTTTTTCATGTTAGCAAATATAAAATTCACCTTATTTTATTTAAAAACAAACTTTATGAGGTTTTCATTGAGATAATGAAGGAAAAGTACAAGGATAAGAAAAAGGCGAAGTCGCACACCCCCCTCCCCAAAATATAACTATAGCTTATACCCTACTTAAGCTTTTTTAACAATTTTTTCTCAAAAACTATGTTTTCTAGCAAATACCCCTCCAATACAAAAAATCAATTTTTTTTTGACGAAGATACCCTTACTGTATTTTAAAAAGTTATTTTCGGATCCAATAAAACGAAATTACCATATCAAATTTGTTTAACGCTGGAGCGCCCCTCCAACAGAAAAAATCCCTGGATAGTAATAAATGAACGCTGGATTAGCCTCCCTAACCGCCATACTGCTCCTCAAAACGCCAGACCGGGGTAGATCCAGTGAGATGAAATGCTGGCATGCCCCATGAAAATGCCGGATTGCCCTTCCTAATCGTCGGACCGCAGTATACGAACGCCGGACTGGCATCCTAACCACCGGATTGCTCCTCAGAATGCCGAACCGGAGCAGTTCCAGTGAGAAGAAACGACGAAGTGCCCCATGAAATTGCCAGATTGCCATTCCTAATCTCCGGACCTTAATATACGAACGCCGGACTGGTAACAACAGGTAAATAGTGAAGAGAGAGAGAGAGAGCGCATTAGTTAAGAGAGAGCGAGAGTAAAAATAAGTGGGTAAATCGTGAAGAGAGAGCGCCAGTGAAGAGAGAGTGTGAAAGTAGAAATAGGTCCGTGGGTAAGGGATATTCTCTTAGATTTCTTTTTTTTTAGGTGGAGGGGGGTATTTGTTAGGAAATATGGATTTTAAAAAAAAGTAGTGAAGAAAGTTTAGGTGGGGAGTAAGTTGAATGAATAGTTGATTTTGGAAGGATTTATATAATTTTCCCTAAAAAAAAAATAAGCAGTAGGGGAATAAAAAAAAAAAAAGGCAAAATGAGGAAGTAGCAAACTTAATAAGAATATCAATATCCTAGTTGAAATCATGACGGACATGAGCAAAACTGACTTCTTGTAGGAGAATCTCATCCATAGTAGGACTCAGCTTCCAGAGCGTGATGTCCGGCTACAAAAATCATTTCATCACATTAACATAATCTCCTTCAATATTCACCTTATGATGAGTGAGAGATGATCTCAAAACCACATCGTCAAAGCTCATCTCCCTCATTGATTTCACAATCATGCATCCTACCATGGTACGACCATAAGGTCCCTTCACTGCGATCTCGCAACAGACCTCCACAGCTTGAAATCAAGAAATCTCCTTGAACACTGCCATCGAAATTGACCTTGAACCACCCGAATGGCAGTTTTGCCCACATACAATTTCTCGGCAGATGTCGTGCCTTAAAGCTCAACAATTCTTTTAAGTAAGAAACGATCGGTTCTTTCGGCAAGGGACTAAGAGGGAGGGCAGCAAGGGCCCTAGATACAATGGACCGTTTGATGGCCACACACAAGGTAGGAACATCCCCAGCTTTGCCCTCAAAGGTTCTAAGATTTCAGACCTTCCGGATATTCCAGAGAGATGCAACCATCAGTATCCTCTACAAGGAGATAGCCAAGGAAGAGAAGGAAGGGGACCACAATTGCTGCACCAACTACGATATACCCCAGGACAAGGTCAAAATCAGACACTACCATTCCAGCTCCACAAAAGGCCCGCATAAGAGCAATGAATGAAAATGTGGTCAATGTATTCTTCATCATCGTTGCTGCAAAATAGACAAACATTCGTGAGAATCATGCCCCTGGCACGAAGCTAATTGATTGTGAGTATTCTTTTGTATGCTAAGATCCAAAGGAAAGCCTTGGCATGATTGGGAGCTTGCCGTTCCAGACTTTAGAAATTCGTGGTCTATCCTCAATATATCTTTCTCTACTTACTACATCTTACAAAGACTGAATTGAAAAAGTATCAGTAGATTCCAAGCTCCAAATGAGCCTATCAGGCTTGTGGGGATGGAAACAAAAGTTATATTGGGCAAACAAAAGGGAGACATATTGCTCTTTTACACGCTGATCCACCCTCCTGATCTTAAGGAAAACATTCCGCATTGCGTGGCCTCCTAAAGAAATCATAATAGCATCATCTCTTGTTTCTAACTTGATCTCTTGTATACATTAGGATACACTAGCCGCAAGGGGTAACTCCCAACCACTTGTGCCAAAACTTCCTCTTAAACCCATCACCAAGCAACATCTTAGGATATGCTAGAAAGAAAGGCCTAACCACTTGAATACCTCTTCAAACAATTGACAGGTTTGTCGGCCGCTAGCAGTGCCTAGCTATAAAAACATAAAGATCAGATCCATACTCCCTCATAATGATATGAGCTTAGAGATGACCACTTTGCCTTGAAAGTGACCTTATTTTATTAGATTTATTGTTTTGCTTATGAATAGGACTGTATGAAACCACTAATTATGAATCATCCAATTTCCTGGGGGGCGGGGAGGTAGAAGTAGGAGTTGGAACGGGTCAAGTCGAGTATCAGTCGACTTGGACTTAGACCTGACTTGACCAAGTTTCTCATGGACCCAGACACGACCTAGACCCGGTTCAGGTCCAAGTGACTTGGACCCAAACCCGACATGGACTTGGGTTAGGCTGCCCAAGTCATTTGGATCCAGACCCAATGTATACCAGGGTCTAGATATTAAAAAGAGCAATGATCCAATGCAACGATTGTATCACAGTATAATGCAACGACACTTCTAGAGAACCATGTTTGTTGTATTTGTATCACCTCAAATTTGCACACACACTCTTCATCTCAATAATGCATCCACAAAAAAACAAAAATCAATTTGAGCCCTAGATATGGTAAAAATGAGTTCCCTCCTAAAACGAATTTAGACCATTCATTTTGTGAATTTCAAGATCTTAGCCTTTATAAACTCAAAATAATTTTTTTCTTATTTTAACATTGTTCATCTAACGATAATAAAGTCATCCAAAAAAATTGAAAATGAAAAAATCCTTCTAAGCCCTAGATCTAAGCATCTCACCAAATGAACGGCCTATGTTAATTGGTTAAAAAATAATTTCTAGGTTGTGTTTTCAATTTTTTCTTTTTTTGTGAATGTTCATTAGAATGAAAAGAGTGTATATTTCAAATTTTTGATCAAACAAAGAGCCATAAGATGGGTTTTTAAGGTTGTTGCATCATACAACGGTTACATGAAATCATTGCCCTATTAAAAAATGAAAAAGTTTATCTTATGTGTTGCCGTATATATATACATTTTGTACATTCCTATGGTCAGGTCGGGTTTAACCCTCAAACCATCCAACTTGTTGGGTCCAAATCATGGACCCGGACCCAGACCCGATTTGGATCAATCTGCTAAGTCCGCTGGTCAACCCGAAGCAATTACAGCCCCTACCCAGTATGGAGCAGTTTGAGTATGAAGCAGTCTGAAATTAATAGTGCGCATCACTGCAAAGTTCACTTTTCAAAATTTTATTTCATAAAAAAGAGAACCTTAAGGGCCAGTTTGGATGTCAAAGAAAAAAAATATTCACAGCAAAAAAATGCAAGTTTTTTTCACCTCAATTGAAAAATATTATTATTTTATTTTATTATGTTGGTAACCTGTTTGGATGTCTAATTTCACTAATTTGTCAAAAAAACCCTCTACCCCATCTCGGTTCCCATCTTTCGAACATCTTCGATGCCGAGCTTCTGAAATCCTGATCTGAGAATGCTTTCTTTGAGGAATTCCTTTCTCAAGCTACTAAAAGCATGGCAAAAATCGTTCCGATAGCCATAAGAGACCATCCTATTTGCAATTTCATGGAACTTTGAGACCACTGGACCAAACAACAATGATAAAATTATAACCAGTCAAGCTCATATTGAGCCTCGCTCTCTCCCCCTCTCAAGCTCACTCTCAATCTCTCTCTCTCTAACCCATGGAAACCATCTCTCTCTCTCTAACCCATTCAGACACTCTCTCTCTAACAGGGATATCATGATATAACCTATTGAAACCACGTCTCTCTCTCTCAACTTGTGGGGGTAACAATGGTGGCCATGACTCTATTTCTAGATGACAATGCCCTAGACGATGCAGAGCTATGGACCGTTATAGACTTAGCAGTTGTTTCGCACTCCCCCTCTAAATCGAGCCAGAGCAAAACCTTTGATCTGATGGGCAATCGCACCAATCACCATAATCTTACTCTCAAAACTCGCACTATACCTTCAATCTCATATCGATACCAAACGCCTGAGGCCAAAGCTCAAGGAACTCTAGATTCAACTACACAGTAGAAGAAGATCCGAGAGAAGGTGAGGTTTGCAGGAGCAGTTGATTCCTCATTGGCCTCACAAGATGTTGAGATCTGATGCCTATGGAGGGTTTCAGAGCCCTGGGTCTTTTAATGGAGGAACCCAAGCGATTTCACGGTGGCAAAGGCTATGTGATCTGCGTTTCTAGAGAGCTTAGGGTCACAGGGAGGGGGAGGAGAGAAAAAGGGTGGGCAAAAGGCTTGCGTTTTGAACGGGTGAGAGAAGGCTGCACTTTCATCACAAAATTCAAGTCCGACTTTGATTTTTTTTTTTTTTGTAATTTTTGCCTTGATACTATATAATTTTTTATTTCAACCTAAAAATATTGTAATTTTTTGTGGTTGTCCAAATGGGTCAAATCTATTTTATAAGATTTTTGGATTGCAATCCAAAAATATTACACTTTTGGGTACATTCAAACTTGCCTTAAAATATTGACAAAAAATTCCAAACTATTGAACTAAAGGTATTTTCATGATTTAGTCAACTTAAATGGCTGATCACAAAAATACCCCTACTTGGTTTGCATGAGGAACATGGAACTGCCAAATAACAAAGATACTCTTTGTTCTATATTGCTTACCATTAAC